CCCTCGGGGCTGCTCGAAAACAATTTCTTCCTTTATCGTCTTCTACTTTTGTATCTGTTTATTCTTTTGGATTTGCCAAAGACCAAACCTGACAGACCCATCTTCACCGGAACCCTCAACCCCCGTCGGTCCCCCTCGTGGGGATGAAGTTGATTCTATGATTTCTTCCAGAGATCCCGATGCTCTCTTCACCGGCGGCGGAATCAGGTTTCCAATTTTTAATATGATTTCGTTTTCGGATCTTTGAATTGGGTTTTTTGATTGTTTGATTTCTTCTTCTTCTCCGGTCTAGCTTTCTCGCGGGAGCTCGTCCTGTGAAATTCAGTTATGGGTATTCTAGTCTCAAGGGTAAACGAGCAACAATGGAGGATTTCTTCGAGACAAGAATCTCTGATGTTGATGGACAAATGGTTGCTTTTTTCGGTGTTTTCGACGGTATGTTTTCAGACAGAGACATCACTCTCTCTCTGTCTTTGGTTTCTCATGTTTTGGTTGCTTTTAGGTCACGGTGGCGCAAGAACTGCCGAATATCTTAAAAACAATCTTTTTAAGAATTTAGTTAGTCATGACGATTTTATCTCAGACACGAAGAAGGCTATTGGTATGATCAAGAACAATCTTGTTCAAGAGTTTTTTGTGTGTTTCTCTTTCCCTGAGACTGAGACTGAGAATTTTGCAGTGCAAGTGTTTAAGCAGACAGATGAGGACTACCTCATTGAAGAGAGGGGACAGCCCAAGAATTCTGGCTCAACTGCATCTACTGCTCTGCTTGTAGGAGATAAGTTGATTGTTGCTAATGTCGGTGATTCTAGAGTTGTAGCGTCTAGAACTGGTTCAGGTATGCTTTCTTTCTCTAAATTGGTTTATCATTCTTTGTATATGTGACTTCATTATTCATTCTTTGCTTCTACTGTGTAGCCGTTCCACTCTCTAATGACCATAAACCTGATAGATCCGATGAACGACAAAGGATTGAAGATGCTGGTGGATTCATAATTTGGGCTGGTAAAGCTTTCTCTGTTCCTCTTTTTTTTTTTTTTATGTGTGCTCAATTCTTACAGATTTGTTTTCAAGAATATGTGGTTTAGGCTCTTTAGTTATTACTCGTTCCTTGAAATACCATCAGGAACATGGCGTGTTGGTGGAATTCTTGCTGTTTCTCGTGCGTTTGGGGATAAGCAACTTAAGCCATATGTGATCGCCGAGCCAGAGATTCAGGTACTTAGATGGTTTACTCTCTTGTTGCAAAGCCGTTGAGCTTTATATAATGTGAGCATTTAGTATAAGGATCTTATGCATATGTGTTATGTTTAAACCAAAAAAATGTGTTGCCTTTTCGGAATTCCCTTTTCGCTGATTGAACTGCGCTTGTGCTTAGGAGGAGGATATAAGCACATTGGATTTTATTGTTATTGCCAGCGATGGACTGTGGAATGTGTTGTCAAACAAGGTTAGTTTCCAGATAAAGCTCACCTCAGTCCATTTTGCTTTACACTATGGGTTTGTTTTGAAAATGCAAATTTCTCTCGATATCTCTTACTGGGAACGCTATTATCTATACATCTATCAAAAACAGGGAATTGACTACTTAACCAGTAACCACATTCTCAAAATTACTTTGTCAGGATGCCGTGGCTATAGCACGAGACATTTCAGACGCGGAAACAGCATCAAGAAAGCTGGTTCAAGAAGCATACGCTCGGGGTAGCTGCGACAATATCACTTGCATTGTTGTTCGATTTGAGGTTTCTTGAGAAAGAGACCCAAGCGATATGGTAACTGTTGTGAATGTATCATCTTAAGCTGTTGTCTTTTCCTTCCATGTTATGTTTTTTAGACAAACAGCGTTAATACAGTGACACATTTGGGTTAGCATAAACCAAAAACAAAAAAAAAAATATATAATTATGAGACTCTATGGCCTCTTATTCTTCATACACAACAAACATGTAGTTTCAGCTACAATTTGTCTCTAAAGAAATGATTTGTTATTTGCCAAAAGGAACTGAGATACAGAGTTACTTCTACTTAGTCTTTCAAGATAATCAATACCACTAGAGATGTACTTATTTTTCTGCTTCTGCATCTTTAGTCTCATCATCTTCAATCTCTCCCTCTTCCTCCACACTGCTATCTTCCTCCTTTTTCATCTTCTTGGTTTCCAGGAATTCCAAGAGACCTTTGAGCGCAATATCAGAGTTCTTACTCGCCATGAGCTGCTGCGTGACTTCCGCTGGAGTTGCACTCACCTCAAGGACCAGCTTCTCAACTGGATCAAACAGAACGTGGTCATCAACTTTGAGGTACATAGCCGCAAGCTTCTTGAACACAAAGGGCGTGCAGTTGTCCATGAGAATGTGAACATCCATTCTTCCAGGCCTCAACAACGCCGGGTCGAGCTTCTCCTTGTGATTAGTTGTGAAAATTATTATTTTTTCTTCCCCGCAGCTCGACCACAGCCCGTCTACAAAGTTCAATAGACCAGACAATGATATCTGTCCAGAAAGTCATAAGTTAGAGAGACAAAACAAACAAAGAGGTTATGTAACAAAACAAAACAGAGGAATCTTGAACGTTACCCCAACGTCAAACTTCTTCTTGCGCTTTTGAGGCTCATTACCATCATCATCTCCTCCAGCTTCTTCCTTCTTCTTGGTCTGGCGTCTACGAGAAGCATCGGCACTACAATCAATGTCTTCAATGAGAAGAATGGACCGGTTCTTGGTGGAGGTAAGAATCTCCCTTAACTCACCATCGTCTCTAACACTCTGAATCTGGAGATCATAGATGTGGTACTTCATGTGGTTAGCAATAGCAGCGACCATAGATGATTTTCCGGTACCAGGTGGACCGTAGAGAAGATATCCACGTTTCCAAGCCCGTCCCACGCTCTTGAAGAAGTCTTTGCCTTTGGAGAAAGCATCAAGATCGTCGATCAACCTGTTCTTGAGGTCCGGCTCAACGGCTAGTGTCTGGAAGGTGGTGTGGTGCTCGAAAATGGCGGATTCCCATTTGGATCGGTCTTGGTTATAAGTGTAGATCTTGAGATTCTCGCGATGGCTCATAATCTTCTCAGCTGATTTAGCCAAGTAGGTAAAGTAATCTGTCATAATCTTCTCACGAAACTCCTTCTTACATGTCAGATGAAAGTAGCTGAAACACATGAAAACAGAATCAGACAAGAAGAAGACAAAGAGATTATAGAATCAAAGAGAGAGAGAGAGTGATATTATATATACCGTTTCTCAGGGAGATACTTCTTAGTCTCAACAGAGTGTAAAGTCCACTCGAGATGAATCCCTTGGAACTCATCGATGATTTTAGTGTTGACTGGGATTCCGAGCTTTGGCTCAGCAGCTGGATTCTTGAGATTGCTCGAACCCACGAGGAGTTTTCCGGTGGAGAGTCCGGCGAGACGGGTCGGTAAGTAAACTTCGGCAGCACGGAAAGTCTGGTTCTCGACAAACTCCCAACGTTGCTCGATCACAAAAGTGAAGTTGGACTGAAAGTAAGAGGAGAAAAAGTCGACGACTTTGAGAGCGACGTAATCACGGACTCGCTTTGGGACTATCTCGTTGAGGATTGTACGGAAGAGCATCGTGATTGCAGAGAACGATGTGTAGAGAGAGAAAACTGCCGATACAGAAGGGACTTGACTATAGAGAGTCGCCATTTTTTTTGTTTTGTTAGCCAAGAAGAAGTTGAAGGAAGATGATGAGGAAGATTTAGGTATAGAGAGAGTGAGAGGGTCTCTAGTTTATAAAGAGTTGGTAAGTGGTGAACAAGTATTTTTTTTGGAATTTTCAACATTTTAATTCCAAAAAGAAAAGTCTAGGTTTTTTAGGATTTAATGAAAAACAAATAGGAAAAAAAAAAAAGATTTTGATGAAAAATAATTAAAAGAAAGTTTGGATTTTTCAGGGAAACTTAGTGGAAAAGCTCGGAGCATGGATGAGAGAAAGTGGAAGACGTCATATAGGTCAAGTGAAAACGACAAGGCCGAGTCACATTCACACTTTACGTACACAAAGATGGACAAATTGAAATGTGTTAATGTATCTGTGACTATATATTTGTTTTCTTTACAAACAAATAATGAATTGTTTATGTAAGCAAATTAACAACGAATGACGTAGCGGCTTGAGGCGTGCAAATATATATTATGATCTTTGTGTTATGATAAATATATTGGTTTCCGAGGGTTTTCTCAAAACTGTAAATTCTCTTTTCTAGCAAAATGTAATCCACATGTATGATGAGTTTTTTTTTTTTTTTATGGAATTCATTTTACATTGCATCCAAATTCACTAATCACTTGCATAATGAAAATTACGAACAACCTCTAATTTTCTCATCCGAATGCAACATCAAGATGAAAAACGAACATGTACTTTAAAGATTACAAAATATATAGTTGAATCAACTATTCATATTGTTTACACACTCGACTGATTTATATGCAATAGAAACATGAACGGATACGAAATAGTGTTTTTTTACAAATGGTATAACGGTTGCAACCAGTGTATTTGTTGAACATATTTGTTTTGTTTAAGTAGCATGAACTACAACGACTAAGCAAAATTTTTTTTTAATCAAAATAGGGAACTGCCAAACACGATTTCTTTGGATTGAAATATCAAAATATTGTACGAATAAACTCTTATAAGAAACATCAAAATATATGCAAAGAGTCTTCATATAAAGTGTGTAAGATATGAATTATTTTGAGAACGGTCCAATTAATTAAATCAGGAGTCAAATTAACAAATATTCTATTTCAACTACACAATTGGGTTCAGTAGACGACAACAAAACATTTGGGCATCCATGTTTATAAGACAAACATAAGCTATAATCTAGACCACCACCTCGTCACCAAATTTTTAAGAAGCAGTTACAAAAATGTCATACATTAATTATTTATTCATAATAATGCCATACGCACACATCCTTTTGCAAAATACTACAATTCATTAAACCAAAAGTCAAATTTGTCTAT